CCCTAACGTCTTGAGTAGCTCGATGCCAGGCTAACCATCCTGAGAACGAACTTTTCTGCATTTTGCGTTTCCCTTCTTTCTAGTTTAGCAGGCATCTATTTCACTGTCCCTTGCCTTGGTGATGGCAGTCAGTGAGCCTCTTGCAACTCTTGGAGGAAACGAAGTTCTTAGGGCTTCGCGTCTTCCGACAGCTCTTGTATGCTTCCTTCCGCTTCACGGCTCGTTGGACCTCCTCATTCCAGAACCACGCTGCGTTATCCCTTCTGATTCCATCTTGCTTCTCGCCTAGACTCTCTTTGGCACATCGCAGGATAGTCTCGTCCCAGTTCCTCCAAGTCCGCTGTATTGGCCCGTTAGGGTCTGGGAAACAAACTTCCATTATTCGTCTGAGGTCGCCTTTCTACGCTTATTTCCACCACCGAATTCTCCACTCAATTTCAACAGTTGACTTCTTGGGGAGATCAATCTCTGTCAGGAGATACTGCGCTGGGGAGCCAGTTCTTGGCAAAGGAGAACCTTACTTTTCTCCACACTTCTGAGTGATGATTTTTTACGAGCACGTGGCCGATTTCCGTCTGTCTCCCTCCACTGCTGTAGGTTACCTTCTGAGTCTATTTCTCTCGAAGAACGTGCTGCAGATTTCCAGGTTGTGGGCTGTAGCCAGGTCCAGAACATTCTCTCACTCAACACTCCTCGCTCCTATCCCTCTACCTCCATACACCCTTTCCAGGCCTCTTCTGCCACTTCCGGGGTGACCATCCAGACCACCTGCTGAGTAATCGCCTTCTGGAATCGATCTGATGGCGCTCTCAAGGATAACATAGAATTCGTTAGAATTCTCGGGGTGTCAGGTCTGCGCTGCGTACACGTACAGCATTGTCCACTACCCCTCTGTCTTGTATATCCGCACACAAATGACTCGATCGCTGATCCTGTTCACGTTGGAGACATAGTCATTAGGCGACTACGCTGCCGCTATGGCCACGGGGTTTCCCTTGATGTTTTCTATCGCGTCTCCTGAAGGCATAGCACTTGGATCTCCTGCGCGTCATCAGATCAGCAACCTCTCGGTACTTTCCTGTTAGCGACCCTACGTTCGAAGTCTCGATTTAAACAAGCTTCTTTGACCGAAGCCGTTCGCTCCGTAGCCCTCGAAAATTGTTTGACTTTCTCCGAAAACCTTTCATCGAATATTAAAAAGCTCGGCACTATTGCACAATTACAACCCAATTACGACATGAAAGGGTCAAAAAATTTTTCGCTGAGAATTTTCATATGGGGGTTATCAAGGGTCCTGATTACGAATATAATGCCATTCCTGGCGCTGGCGCCAAATGGCGCCACTTGGTGCCAGATGACGTCACGACTGAATCTCACCAAATTCGCTGTAAACTCGTATACAGGGGTAATTTGAGGCCCTGATTACGAATATTACATTGGCTTTTGTCGCTCGAGCTGTTTTAATACTGATTTAATGCTTTTTTGGGCTCTCTCCCTTAGTTCCCAGGACTAAGCCTAGGGAAAGGGAGTGATTACAATGTAGTGGGTAAACCAAGCACCGTGTGGAAAAGTTGAAGTGTATGAGACCACGCGAGCGGCCTTCTCACTTTAGAACACTCCAATCTCCGGAGGCTTAGTCCTGATTGCGATACAATTAGTGAGAGGGCGCAGACAATCAGCATAAGGTGCTGATAGGCCGCGATAGCGCCAACGACAGAAACGAACGTCATTATTCGTGAGATTTCAAATATTCCCTATAAACGAGTTTACAACGGATCTGGTGAGATTCAGTCATGGCCCATTCTGGCGCCAAATAGTGCCAATTCAGCGCATCGCTCAAATGGACCTCACATTCGTTATCAGGATCCTCGATAAACCCCTATGGGAAGTTTCAGCGAAAAATTCTTGACCCGTCTCCCCCTACTGGGGTTGTAATAGTGCAGTAGTGCAAAGCTCTACTACTGAACCCCCTCCCCATAAAAGTCGTTCAACAAGAAGTGGAAGTTAAAAAAATTCGTTACAATGAATCCTACCGACAAATTGAGCAGAAAGCGACGATTTCGTCATAACTATCGCAGGATCAATTTGACTGCTCGTACAATGAAGCTGTATGAGCGATTGGCGAACTCGAAGCTGCGAGAGCTGGTCCCGATCCCCCAGTAACAATCCGGGTCTATGCATGAAAGGTCAACAATGGGTGCCATTTTCATCGCCAGGCAAGTGATGGAGAGTAAAGAGAAAAGCGCTGACCCTGCCAGCTAGCCTTTCAGACCTGGAGAAGGCATTTGGCCATCTACAGCGGGCACTATTGTGGAGCGCTCAGGGAAGGGGACGTGTTAGAACACCTAAACTCTCTGGTAAGGGATATTTAAGATGAGGCTAAGGCAGCCATACCCACCCCACATGGCCTAACAAAGGAGGTCAACATGAAGGGCATCAGCAACGTGGAGGGTTTGCGACACCTTAGAAGCGATCTAGCTGCCGACCGCAGTGTGGACCAGGCAGTAAAGGCACGAATCGACGCGGCCCGGATGACGTGGAGAGAGTTCACTGGGATCCTCTGTGCGAAGACGCTCTGGAACATTGAGTATCGGGCTGTGATAAGGCCTGCAATGCTGGCCCCTGAGTAAGAATCACGAAAGACAGCTGCACTCCACTGAGATGAGCATGTTGAGATGGGCCTCCGTTGGGCGCGACTGGACAGGGTCAGGAGCGAATATGTCAGAGTAATCATGCAGACTGTCTCCCTCTGAAGGTAAGGGAGCAACGACTGCTATGGTATGGGTACGTGCTAAGTATGTCACAGGACCGCGAGGAGCCCAAGGTAAGAGGTGAAGGGACGTTATGAAAAGGACTTGATTAAAATCATGGCCACAGCTGAGATGCGCTGGACAGAAGTGGCGACGACTTATAGAGATAGCAGACCCTCCGACTGCCGGGACACACGCTAGGAAGAAGAAGAAGAAAAAGAGCCGTGGCAAAATGGCGCCAATTTTGCGCCAGCGCTAAAAATGGATGTCACATTCGTGATCAGAGCTCTCGATAACCCCTGTAGGATAAGTTTCAGCGAAATTTTTTTGCCGAAATTGATTGCAAGGTTTACAAAATTGCTTGCAAGAATGACGAATTAGGCGTTAAAATGACTAAATCGGTTGCAACGTTTACGAATTGGGGTGGAATAAAAACGAAATTGGCTGCAACGTTTACGAAAATTGTCGCAGCTCTGACGAAATTGGTTGCAAGGTTTACGAAATGGGCTGCAACGTTTACGAAATATGCTGCTTTGACGAAATTGGCCGCAACGTTTCCGAAATGGAATGCATGGTTTACGAATTGCGGGCTCGGGAAAACCTGTATAGATCGGCGAGTAGGAAGGACCACGCTTTTATACTGACTCTCTCGTCTTCAAGCTGCCCATTCTTTCGTATTGCATCGTATTATCAGTATCTCTCTCACCCTCCCCCCCAACACATGCTTGCTTACGTCCCACCCTCTACATCATATCCTAAAATTAAATCTTAATGACTGCTGGTCCGTGTGCTATGAATTTCGTGACACACGCACATGCACACACACAAACAGACAGACGTAGCGCTTAATATAATAGTAGGGATCTTGGATAACATTTGGATTAAGTTTTTACTCTCCCATGAGTAAAAATTGAATGGGAGAAAAGCCGTTCTTCTTCAGGTTTAATTATCGCAGAGATAGAAAGGTAAATTCGATTCAGTTTGTCCCTCTGATAGTTTCTACGGGAGTCCTTGCAGTTACCTTCAAGTTTCCTAATGAAAACCTGATCATCCATAAAAATATAGAGGAATTTCCGACCAGTCTCCATGTGGGCTACGTTCGTGGCCCGCGCCAGAATCCCTTGACATTCTTTAGTCCTAGTTCTCCTCCGCCCATCCGCGAGAGCTGTCGTTTATGGTATTTATAAGATTTTAAAAGTTTCTAAATATTGGTTCCTAAACGCAGGTCCGTATCCTTTGTCCTGATACTTTCGAATCTTTAATAGATTCGAAACGGTTTACTGGATTGCGTTGTATACGGTTTTTGTAATATTCGTAGCACCTTTTGGCTACCATAACAGGTCAACCTCGATAAGGAAGGCTATCATGCGTTTCTCCATCGAAAGTCAGTTGAAAACCGGGTGAAGCGCCCTTGGATGCACCACATTGCAGGAGAAGGCTGCTCTGTGGCGCGCGAGACCAAAAATCCCATTCTTTTCAAAGCTCAGGAAGGTCCTTCAAGGCGTTCTAAATGGTTTATTGCAGCAGATGCGTGGAGCACAAAACTGAAGAGCATTTCGCCAAGCGGCTGTGTTAAGGCCAAAAAAACCCACGTTGAAACTATGGCTCAAGGATCACCTATAAGACGAATTTTTGCATTTCTACGATTTCCGTTCATATCGAAACACAACCAGTGAACAGGCACTTTCCAATATGCAGTCGGCAACAAACACTGCAGAGTATTGAATGAAGTTATTATGTTTATAATAGAAACAAGTTGAATCAAACTAATCTATTTATTATTATTTTGATTATGATGTTTAAACCGAAATTTTAACGATATTCTTCAATTTTCGCATATATTTGAAGGGGTGGTGAGCAAAAAAGTCATCAGTATTAAAAATGTAAATTTAAAAGTATATCCTTCTGAAGGAAGAATTCCGCTCTTTTCCTAGCAGTCCCAGGGACGCTCAGACAAGCTATCATTAGTTTTGCGTTGACGCACGTGCCCCTATAACATGCAACGAGCTGCTTCCATATATCACATCAGAGTGATGATCTTATGAAAGCCTAGAATTTACGTAAAGGGTTGTGGCGAATCTGGTAACCCAGTCAGAAGCCTTATTTTTTGCAGAGTACCTGTGCTTCTTCCGTTTCGATCTTGTTTTTTCGCCCTACCCTGTAGGACAATCTCACGAGTCCTGTGACCCGCTCTTTTTGGGCTCAATATGTACTGATGTAATAGGCACGTTCAGACAACAGATCACTCACCTGAATTTCCGTTTGCGTCGTGTCTCGCCATACGATGTGATATTGGTGTATTCGGAGCACTTTGTGTGACTAAAGGTGATGGCAATGCAGCGGCAAAGTTTGTCGGTTCTGCAAATGACGTCATCGATAAAAATTCTTTTCGAGGTCTCAAAGAGAAAAATCAATCAAAGTTGGGATACGTAGCAGTTTCTGGTGTAAGCAAAACACGGACAAAGGGTATGAAGGAAAAGAGAATATAGAGAAAGTGAGACGAAACGAATAAAAGGAAGGTAGAGTGAGAGCAAAGCAAGGTTTCTTGAATAAAGTATTGGAAAGTCAATGTGAGTTGCTCAAATCAGGGCCGAATAAGGGATCAAAAAGCGTGAATGAGTCCATCTATATTAGGTTGCCGGAGAAATCCCAAGCGAATTTTCTTATTCATCTTACAGAATCTTTTGGGATCGTTTTGAAATATTCACTGCGCAACGTATGTGAGCGGTGGCCAGTGCTCACTCCAGAGCATTTTTGTCGCGGCATGAAGCTGAAAAAAATAGTCTTTCACTGGAGGTATGTTCGACTGCCCCTGCCTTTATAAGCCCACAAAGGGTGTTCATTGAAGCGACGCAGTAAGAGGTGTTGCGATGGACCTCCAAACGATCTTTCACAACATGGCAGTTGTTTGGTTGCCGATGTGTAGATCTAGAGAAAAACCGCAAATTTGGTCCGCTTGTTACTCTAAATGAAGAGCGTATTGAGAATTCAATTGGAAAGAGTTCCCTATGCAATACACGACAACTGGCAGAGCTTTTTCAGTGTTATCACAGCACAATGCCTGATCCCCAATTATTTTCTCTTTTTTCTACCTGGCGTTAGTCCCGCGCAGTCGCATTGTCTGCTGTCTCTGCCAGCCGTCGCCATGTTGTTCTATCCAGGGCATCGTCTGCTGTGGCCCTGACTCCAGTGAGGTCTTCTTGAGTCTTCCACCTCTTCTATGGGGCTCATCAGTCTTCATGACCTTGTCCAGTCGCGTCTTACCTCAGCATCCTCATCTTGGTGGAGTAAAGCTGCCTTCCTGATTCTTTTTCACAGGCAGCACCTCGACATGACTAATTTGAGGGGTGCGGACTAACTGATGAGAATTTTTGTCGCGTAATTCACGTGAGTGGCACATGTACTTCTATGAGCTACATAAACGCGGTCTACAACCAGCCCTAATTTTATGTTCGTCTTGGAGGAATCAGTCAATGGTGACCATCAGCTTAGCCACAACCTGTTGTGAACATCTCACTCTTAGGCTTCCCAACAAGTCGCGGCGGTCCATTTCTAGACTTGGTGTTTCATCCAGAACTCGACGGTCAAGCAATATTTCTTGGAACCTAGCTCAAAAATTTTTACGGCCGAGACACTGTAAAACTAGTGGAATGTTAAAGGCAAGATTCGGGATAAAATAGGTGTGGAAAAGCGTTCAGCTATGAAGCTGGAGGTGGGAGGTGGTCTGGAAAAGAGAAGGAAAGCAAACGAAACCACCGATTGCGCAACGCACAGAAACCTCCCCTATTTCAGCTGCATTCCACCTGGGATAGAGAAGGGGCGTGTTGGACGAGTTTCACGAACCTAGCTCTAGCTGCTCCCAGGCCAATAACATTGGGTCGCGGTGGGACCGCTGCCTCGAATGCGCCCGCGCTTTTCAAGCAGCGCCACGTGGCAACCGACAGCGTAGGGTGGGGCTTGCGGACGAAGGTGTGAGTTGCGTCGCACGAGCTTCTTGCGCCTTTGTCGCGCACTTTTGAGCGGCAAATGGGGCGCGACATCAATGCTTGTCCACCTGTCTACTACACCCCGGGATGGAACAGGCGAGCGTACCTAATCCCGGAGCGGGCCTTCAAGAACAATTTGTAGCTAAGTTGGGAATGTACGCCTGATTGATTTTCTCATCTTCTCGGGGAAATTTTTTTCTCAAAATAATGTGGTCACTTTCGTGGATAACACCTTATCACACGGATCTAAAATTCGACCTAAATAACAAAAGGGTATAAAACAACATAGATGATCGAATGGAGCATAAGAGGTGCCTACAATAAAAATCATGGCACTTATGAGAAAGAATTTCAGTTCAAATTACTAAAGCTAACCGGTCAGTCAGAAAAAGCATATTAAAGAAGTACGGCAAAGCTTTTTCGACAACCTAAGAGCGAAATATACAGAGGAGGCAATGGAACTAGAGAGTACATCAATGATTGATTTCTTTCACGGGAAGATAGAGTTAGAGCTAGTTGTCGGTTAGGCTAACTTTCGCCTGCTGAAGCTCTTATTTCCCTTGCCTAAAAATTGAAAGCTCTGCAATGTATGTGGAAGGAAACACAGTAGAGCATACAATTCTCTTTGAATGGTATAAGTTTAGAAGAACTTGGGGATTTAGTACTACTAACGGGACTACATAGTACTACTCAGGCATGTTCGAGTCGCTGATAAACCCACTATGCAAAAAAGAGAACCGTCACTCAGTTCCATGGATTCTCGGGAATTCAGTGTGAAAATCATCTTAATCTAATGGCAAACAGATTTTCTACCACATCAATTCACAAACAAAACAGTAGGATATGTCAAATTGATAGTTCATGAATCTGCTTTCGAATGCGATCACTTTCAAAAGCTTACTTTGAATCAGTTCCGCTTTCTTCGGCTTTTGCAAGCTTCTTAACTACCTAAACCCAGTCTCTGACATTGTATTACGTAGTGAATCCACCCTGATCGTAGCGCAGAAATGAGCAAGGAGTTGACAAACAAGATTGCTACTGAAATTTTTCAGGGAATTTAGAATGTGGAGTATGCAAGCTACTAGAGTAAACCATAGGGTGGCCTACGCACAAAGTCGTGATCGACATTCTACTGCTGCTGGCAGTGTTGCTCCTCCAAAAGTGTCGGTAATGACGATTTCACTAGTAAAAAGCGCCACGGCACTTGAACGCTCCTTCGTAATCAACCGGGTTCATCGGTCATGTTATAATGACGACGCCTAGCTTGCTGTCTACCGTGAGCAGTACGCATGGTTTATAATGCAAGTTATTTTCACATTTCAAAATTTCCATTTAGACTAACTGACGAGCTGCAGTCATATTGGAGACGTCAGCAAAATCCCACCATCTTGAGGAGATAACATTGCTGAGTAAAATTTGATGTATGTGTGAACGGACTTCGACTAGTGTGACAAGCTAGACATGCAGTAGCGGTCAAAAGTTTGGGAACTCTTTTTTTTATTTTCGATCCAACGTGGCCGCTAGGCAATGAAATTGTCCCGAGTTACATATTAGTTACAGGACCAAAAGTAGATTACGATGAGCAACATACTTTTTATGAAAACGAGAATCGCATTTGAAAAATACGAATTTTTATAAGAAGTGGCGCGTCAAAAGTTTGGAAACTCCTCATTTCCGAAGCAAATTCAGCAAAATAGCTCTCGAATCTACACGATAAATTATTTATTCGATGAGTAGCTGTGGATTTCCATATCAGCGTCGTTTTTATTGACTGAAGTTGATTGTAAAATAATTTTAGGACTTTCAAGTGGAACTCTACATAGTGTACACTAAATCACATTGTTAGGTGGGATTCCTAGCTGGAATGTGTGTTAGTAGCATGCCAGCTCTTCCGGGGATGTAGAACTCAATCAGACTTTAGGTCTTGACTTGGTCGCTTCATAACAGCTTCTTTTTCTGGGTTTAGGCAAGCGGCAGTGAAGAGCTAGGCCCACAGTGGGTTATTTCCGCGATAGAGAGCCCATCTTCTCCGGCTAGTTCTGAAGTTCTGACTATCGGAGGGAAGCATTGTGTTCTACAGACTATTCTTGTGCTTAGCGCAACCCACATTTCGCTGGATACATAGAAGTGGGGAATCGCCGAACGGTTGGACACATCTTCTTCCATGACAATACTTCCACTATTTCTGACTGTTAGAATATTATACTCAAAATCAGGTTCCCATTTGACGGAACTTCACAGGGTGCAACATCATTTTCAGAAAGGCAGAAATCCCATTCGTCACTGAGGACAAAGCTTTACCTCTTGCCTTTGGTCCATGTTAGCCATCAGTGTGCTGAAGCTAGTTGAGTCATCCTGCTCTTGAGCCCCACAATAGCTTCTCATTTGTACATCATCCGCATATTTACTAGGTGGCGTGCAATGTTGAGCTGCTCTTGGACTTTCACATGATTAGGAAAAAGCCAGACAAAGTCGTCCTTAGTTGGAGATGTCGGGGGTAAGAGACGTGCCAACCACCCTTTGAAGTATTTATTTGAAGAGGGCCAATTTTCTTGTGTGGGTACTGTGAATGATCATTTTTCTTATGCTTACTCGACTCCATTAACGCTAGAAACACTCGATAATAATGCTTCAATAGAGATTGAACTACTAAGAAACAACGCCAATTTCGTATTCCGGGTTGTAGGGTTCAAAAAAACTCCCATGGAAAAACTGCTTTCTTTGCATATGAGGCCATTTTGAAATTACACAATACTCAATGGGTCAGCTAAATTTAACAGAAACAAGTGAATATTGAAGAGTAGGAATCACAATGGTCAGAGAGACAAAACGTTTCCAAACTTTTGACGCGCCTTACTTGGAAAAATCTTATTTCTCGAACATGATGATAGATTTTTGGGAAGTATTTGTCCCGTCGTAGTCCGGACTTGATTTTGTATGTAATATCTAAATTTGGGGAAATTTCGTTATGTGTCGGCCGCGCCAGATAAAAAATAAAAAGTTCCCATGTTTTGACCGCTGCTGTAGTTTTGACGCAGCTATCAATGCCGAAATATAGGGTTTTCCACCCCAATTCGTGAACCTTGCATTCCATTTCGGAAACGTTGCAGCCAATTTCGTAAACGTTGCAGCCCATTTCGTAAACGTTTCATCCCATGTCGTAAAAGTTGCAACCAATTTTGTCATTCTAACGCCCAATTCGTCATTCTTGCAATCAATTTCGGAAACGTTGCAACCAATTTTGTCAAAGTCCCAGCACATTTCGTGAACTTTGCAATCAATTTCGTCTTTTTAACCATTAATTCGTCATCCTTGTAAGCAATTTCGGATACGTTGCAACCGATTTCGTCATTATAACGCCCAATTCGTCAT